ATATATATATATATATAAACCAGAAAACTATGGTTTAACCCCACAGAATAAGGGCTCTGCAGTTATATAGAACTGTTTTTATATTATCCTGACTTTTTCAATAAGTGTTATTATTGTTGTTTTTTATTTCAACATATCAACGTTATTTTTTTCCAATTTTAACTACTTTACTGGTACATGTTTAAAGTACATAATGATTACATTCCTCCTGGGTATAAACCAGAAAACTATGGTTTAACCCCACAGAATAAGGGCTCTGCAGTTATATAGAACTGTTTTTATATTATCCTGACTTTTTCAATAAGTGTTATTATTGTTGTTTTTTATTTCAACATATCAACGTTATTTTTTTCCAATTTTAACTACTTTACTGGTACATGTTTAAAGTACATAATGATTACATTCCTCCTGGGGAGTTGGCACATGTACATGGAACATCTTAATTCTTTCTCCACTCCTTGCCCTTTCTTCCACACCTTCTGTCTCTTTGTTCCCTTCCTTTTTGCAAACTGAAGTATAATTAGCAAATAGAAATTGTATTTTCAAGATGTACAATCGGCGGTTTGATAAATATATAAATTGCAAAATGTTCCTACAGTAAAGTAACTAATATATGTTACCTCACATAGTTATCTTTTTTCCATTTGTGGTAAAATGGGTAATATGTACTCTGTTAGTAAATGTCAAGAATCTAATACTCTGTTACTATCTGGAGTCACCAGGGCATAGACATTAGGTCTTGTGGAACTCTTTATCTTATCTCTGACATTTCATACTGGGTAACCAACATCTCCCCATTTTCCTTACAACCAAATCTGGTAACCAATATTCTACTTTCTATTCTTATGAGCTCCAATCTTAAAAATTCCACAACATTAAGTAATATTTTCCTTCTATATATGGTTTATTTCAATTACTACAAAATGTATTCCTGACTACATTGCTTAATTTCTCAAGTGTTCCTGTAGTCATTTGTACCACGCACATAAAAATTCCATCTCAAAATATGATAAGTACTTAATGAAAACACTGGTATAAATGCATTGATATAATATTTAGATGTAATGCATGATCAATAAGTGGTTTGTGGTTTTTTTGTAATTCTATGTATGTCTTTACAACTCTTTGCAAGACTTTATGTTTTAATTGGTACTAATTATCCATTGTTCTATTTCAAAAATACTAGGATTTAAGTAAGGATATGTAAAAACACCCAAATGAATGTACTGCTGCTGAATGTCAAGATTTTGTTATAAAATTTAAAATCAGGAATCAGGAGTTAGTGGAGAGCCAATGAATTAAAACAAAAGGGAGTACATACCCTCTAATAGTAACAGATATTCAGCTTGCATATATGAATTAAGAAATAAAATGAGCTCACAGCATAAGTGTGCTTGCTGTGCAGCCAGTTTGTTTTAACACTAACTCATAATAAAGCAAAGTAAACAGCAAGTCTGGAGTTAAATGGACCCTAAGTGGCCATAAAGACTCTCGAAGAGATGGACAGGGCCATAGAAAAGAACTTTCCATTAATGTTAATGTGCACAGAGCTGCTGAAGGGCCAAACATTAAAAGAAAAAAAAATGCTTTGAAACACTCTGAATTATTTATCTGAGAAAAGAAATCAAAGTAAAAGATAATATAACCATGCCTTCACCATAGTGGCTATCTAAGAGGTATTTTATATTCTCTTCTTTCCAAATGCTGTTTTTCAAAGCCCATTAGAATTTGGAGTTATAGCATGACTAACATTTTTGTCTTTTCTTGGTCCTCACACCAAGCTTCAAAATGAAAAGAAAAATTGTAAGTAAAAAAATTCTTCAAAAATTGTATTATGAGCAAAATCTATCACATTCCCTCTACTCTTCATTCTGACAGAGGGAGGAAAAAGTAAAGAATATAAAATAAAACACCTAGAAGCCCAAAAGCTGACTAAGTAAGATGCATGCCTGAAAATACTGCCTATGGAGTATCTTTCCCTAAAAATATCTCCAAGTAATTTAGGAGATTTATGAGGTATATAATAAAACAAGAAAAGTAAAACTCACTCTGTTAGATTAGTAATAAAAAAATGAAGTTGAAGTAATAGTACAACTTGTCCAAATAACATTTATTAGTAGATGTATATATATATATTTAGTAGCTTCATCTTGTTTGGTTTTTAAGTCTATTTTCTTTCTGCATCCACCTTCCACACAATGTGCAATTATTTATAAGATTCACAGCACATGCTCTGAATTAACCTGCTTTCAGTTAAACTGCAGATAGCTAAACAATGAGCTCATGAATTACTGACTGTTGAAAACAGTGGATTTTCAGTCAGTTAATCCATAATTCTGCAAAATAAACTTTTAAGGGAGTATAATCTAATTGATAGCAATAGAATATTTTTAATTAAGAATTAGTTCTCTTTTTGAAAACAAAGTCTCTTATTTTTAATGGTTTCCATTAAGTCTTACTAATACTTTATCCTATAATTACAGTGCTGAAAGCCCTGTGAAATCTACTTAGCAGATAGACAGTTCTGGAAAATTTGCCTTCTAATTTCCCTGAGAAATGATGATATTTATCTAAAGTGATGCCCTTTCATTTCACTAAACTCAAAAGTGGGCATATCAAAGCCATCAGGCATTAAAATAATTAACCTATAGTGTTTGACTGAATAAAATGTGATGCATAAGTTTGTTGAAAGTAAAAACTATGGCAAGACTTTTGGTTTTAGTGGTGGGTATGAACTAAAGTACAGTGAGAGAATCAAGTCTATCCCTTTCTTTCTCTGCAAGACAAAATGGAATCAGTGCTACAATTATATCTGTATATTCTAAAAACTTAGATTTTTTTTAAGTCAAATGGAAACAAAAGAATATTGTTATAAGTTCACTTGAAAATAATTAATTCAGATTGATCTTTGAAAGAGAGTGGGGCTCTTTCCACACTGACCTCTGATTTAGAATGTCTGATGATTTATTTAATAAATATCAAAATCTTAGAAATATACCTCAAGTGCTATCTCTTATAAAATTGTTCCTGACCAGTAGTTCATGATTCTCTGATCCATATGACAATTAACCTTGGGTCATTTCACTGAGAAGTATGTGGAACTGAATACAAAAGTGCTACAAAACATGTACTGACTATAGCAGATATACAGTAAATATTAGGGGAAGGAACAAATAATTCTGTTTCCTAATTGTTTGATGTAACTTCAGGTCAATTTCTGAATCCATCTGTGTCATGTCTGTGAAACCCAACTATCGTATACAAACCAAATGTAGTGTTCATATACTATAAAATATCGCAGCGATAACAAGTATTAGAAAAACCACCCAACTGGAAAGTGTGAAACCTTGATAACCTAGAGATCTTTGGACAGCCACTTAAACTCGCTTGTCCCAGACTTCCTTGTATTGAGATGATCTCTGACTACTGCCAGCTCTGTAAAGAGATGTTGCTATTGATAGACCCTTACAATATTTCAGGATTGCAACAGGGCAATCATGGAATTTGGGATAAAACATACTTCAGAAATGTTCCTTTTCCTGGGGAGGAAAAAGAAATGATTTTGACATTGAATCCACTTGAGGGAACCATCTAGCAAGCAAGATGGTAATGGTTTATCTTCCCACAGGTCGTATCTAAGATGAAAGGAATGATATCAATAATTACAGTAAGAAGAGGCATAAACTGGGATGGACCAGAGCAACCGGAGATGTGCGGTCCCTCTATCTTTCCCACCTAGAGTAGCTGAAGTACTGTTTTCTATCACAGAATTTTCATTTACAGTAAAATGAAATTCTCTGTTTTACCATCAAATTATTTTCAGGTAAGATATCTACTGGATATTCGAAATTTAGTTGAATTAGCCTTTAAATAAATTTTAGAAACTGATTCAAAGGCTGTCTTATTCCATAAATCACTTCTCCGAGTGAGGCATGGAACAAAAGGAAAACACGAACTTGCTGCATAGGAGCATCTGACAAACTGTCCATGGCACTAGTGTGTGCTCTGAGTCATAAAAAACGGTTAGCAAACCAGTATGGTGGAGAAGAGGGAGTCCAAAGCAGAAGGTGTTGTTGTTCACCCACCGTGAGCCCCAGGCAGCCACCGACTTACTTGAATCCCTTTGGTGTCAGGATGCACTTGGAGTCGTGCTGGCAGGGGTTCAGGTCCTGGGCACAGAAGTCCAGTTTCTCCTCACACAACTCGCCTGCAACATGGCAAACAGTGTCAGTTTACAAAGAAAGGCCAGTAAGCCTTCTGTCAGTATTCTGTCATGGGTCTCTGAGGTTAGTGCCATTCACAATGGAAAACAAAACGGGGAAAAAAATGAAATAAAGCTCCTCAACAGACAAAACAAAAAGAAAACCTACAAGATGTGAGGCCAGAAGATCCCATAACCAGTCTGGGTCCTGCTGCTAAGCAGTTGAACCGTACAACTCCAGTGATGTGTGCGCCCCTTTCGAATATGCTAGGGGAATTAGGTAAAGGAAATTCAGGTGCTTTCCCTTCTTGGTTTATTTCTTTCTTTCTTTATGTATGGAACTTTTACTGAGCAAGGCACACCAAAGAACATATGAACTGTTAATGAAGAGTTAGAAATTTAACCCACTCAGTTGGCCAATATCCACATCTAGAAGCACTTCATTTATCAGTGTCCTGAAGCCTCATGCCCTACTCAGATAGTCAGTTCTCCGACTACAAACGCAAGGTGACCACTATCTTGACAAGGTCATTGACTAGGGGTGCCTGCTTCTGCGTTTGGCATAAATTTAAGTCATCTGGTAGGTGTTCTTTTATGTTTATCTTATGCTGTGGTTATATTTGCAAATCATCGTCTAATCTTCATAATGTCCAAGATCTTACAAATCTAGAAAAATACTTGGTTTCCTTTTTAGGAACCACTGCAAAAGCTCCACAGCATATTTCTTAGGCACATCCACTGTGACACAATAAAAAAGTAAAAGAAGAAACAGAGAGGACGCAGTTTCCATGAGTGTAGGCGAAGTCAAGAAGAATTTGATCAACAAATGAAACCTAAAAACACAGCCATGTAGATCCCTCGGCGTTCTATGCCAAATCATGCTTGAAATTCTCTTAGGAAATTTCTTCCGATATGAATAACACAGTCACTATTTCAGATATATTTGACCAAGTAGAATTTCCATAGAGAAGACATTTCCAATCATTTTGTAAGATATTAAAGTGACTGGACAGGTATATTTTACAAAGTTTTTTCTCCTTTTCTACCTTCTAAGCTACTTCTAAGTTGTTTTATATGCAGTAGATGAATAAAGTCACACATCTACAGGCAGCTGCTTATTTCCAAGAGACTAACAGAACTTTCACTTGTTCAGTCTGAATTCCAATAGTACTGGTTTAAGAATGGGGGGTTTGCAGCACATGCTTTTGATGTGAGACTGTCTTGTTAAGGTAAGGTACTACCAATTGGTAGAAAGATTGTCAGCTGAATGAGACATACTATTTAGATTTCCAGGATCTTTCCTCAGGATCTAAGTATATAAATGTATTCATTAGTTATTATAAAATCTGTTTTCTATTTCTTAAATGAACTAATGCACTCAAAGTCTCATCAATTGCCTTCATAAGATTTCTATGTCTCTACAGCTACAAAAGTTTTTTTAGTAATATGTACATGGTAAACTATGGATAAACACTTTTTTTTTTAAAGATTTGCAATTTCAATGAGTATGACTTTATATAGAAACCTAGATGAGAATTATTCATTATAGGTTACCGTGATGGAATCACTTTTGATTTCCTAATTAAATCTATCTAGTGGGGCTACAGACCTTTTGCAGTAGGCTCTATCTGAGGTACTTCATAAAATTTGCTAGTGGAAAGAGACCATTTTAGATACATAATTAATGTTATGCTATGTAATTTTTACTTAGTTTGAAAATAAAATAATTTAAAGGTGTTAAAAAAGAGGGTATGTTTTATTTATTCATTTATTTGGTCGAATCCAATCCAATCCCATTATTACCAAACTATGGTTTACACATAGTTCTCAATATTTACTACACGGTGTGGTGCTAGATGCTGAGGCCACAGGCTAGACTAACCGATCCGTCTCCAGTCAACTCTGAGTCTACCAGTATAAAAAGTCTGAGCAGGAGGCAGAATGCAGAGAATGAATTTTATCTCCAAGGAAATAAAACAAAGTTGACCTTTTCTGCTTTATGATAGAAGAAAGATATATAGACTTATGATAGATTCAACAGTGAAAAGATAAGGAAGATAATTCTAAGAATCTGCTGGCTAAACAAACAACCAAATCAGGGCTTTTGAGTGGCACACCAACTGGAATGTGAAATGTTCCGTCGATGTAAACTCTTCCTTTTATTCCTTTTCTCTGAAGAATAGCACAAATGCACTATTAATAATTACTGAAGTCATATGTGATAGTTTTCCATGGTCAGTAAATAACTATATACTTGACTATGAGACTGTCTATTAAGAAATTATCTATTTTACTAACACCAAACATTATAATACTAACAAATATTACATCTTCTTCATTCTATTACTGCCTAATCCACTTCTAAACTTAATCTCCACCTTGTACTGTGTTATCTGGGTCTATTCATTATTTTATTAATTTATCTTAACTCCATGCCTGGGATAATGGCTTTTATTTTGACTTTAGTAACTTTCTTTGACATTGCTGTTCTCAATTTCCTCATCCAGCCTTGCCTTTTTTTAACTCATTAAGTTTGTTGGTACATTTTAGGTGTACAATATGATAACATTCATCACTGGGAATTTGTACCTTTACCTGATATATCCTGGTGCTTTTTTTCCCCCATTCTCCTGCCCTCCCGTCACCCCCCCCCAATTATAAAGACTTTATATTATTTCCTTTTCTATTTTTTCCTTCCCCTTCTTTCTTTTCCCCTCTCAATTTCCTTTCCTCTTCACCTTTGGGCCCTTTCTTCCTGTTTTACATTATCTGTTATACATTTTAATCCTCATTTCTACTTTCAGTTTCTCACTAGAGAAAGTATTCAGTATTTACACGAGTCCTATTTATTTCACTTGAGTATTGCCTCAATGTGCATCCATTTAGCTACAAATAGCTCTAATTTTTCATTCTTTATGCCTGAGTAGTACTTCATTTTATAAAAATAAAACATCTTTTTTATCCAGTCCCCAGTTGATGGACAATTGGTCTGCTTCCAAGATTTAGCTATGACAAACTGCCACTATAAACATGGGTGTGCATGTATCACTGTGGTATGATGCTTTTAATTCTTTTGGGAAGATACCCAGCAGAGAAATAACTGGGTCAAATGGGACCTCTAATCCTAGTTTTTTGAGATATCTCCATGCAGATTTCCACAGTGATAGCACCAGTCTGCACTCCCACCAACAGTAGAAGGGTTCCTTTTTGCCCACAACCCTACCAGCATTTGTTATTGTTTGATTTCTTGATAGCAGCCATTCTTTCTGGGGTGAGGTGGAATCTCAGTGTTGTTACCTGCATCTCTTGGATGACCAGTGATGTTGAACATTTTTAAAAATATTTTTATTTGCTCTTTCTACTTCTTTGAGAAATGTCTGTTCATTTCACTTGCCCATTTTTGGACTGGGTCTTTAAATTTGGTAAGTCTGATTTTTAAAGTTCTTTATATATTCTAGATAGTAGACCTTTGCCTGAGGAACAGCTGGTAAAAATTTTTCCCAAGATTGTGGGTTGTATCTTCATTCTGTTAGTGGTTTCTCTTACTGTGCAGAAGCTTTTTAATAAGATCCCAGTTGTTGATTCTTTGGGCTATTTCCTGTGCTACTGAGGTTTTGTTCATGAAGTCTTTTCCTACGCCAGTGTCTTCAAGAATTCTGCCTAAGGTCTCTTCTAGGCTTGTGCCTATTTTGTGATATCATATAAATGTATCTTTACTTAAGAAGTATTTATATAGTGTTTCCTACTATGTATCAGTTTTAAACCTTGTATAAATAGGCAGTCACTTAATAGTCTTGTCAACCCCTTAAATTAAGGTGGTTGTAGGGTGGCACCTTGTATTATTGACTTTGAAGTTGTTCTCTGTGACTGTTGACAGAAGCTTTGTTAAATTTGCTTTGCACCTTAGCAGAGTGTGAGATGACACTGTCTTCAAAAAATATTTCCTGAAAAACTATTCGAATAAATAGTTGAAAACTCCCACTGCATTCCACTTGGAGTCCTCAAGAAACAGAGGGTACATTGTCATTCTTGGAATATTTGATTTTGAATCTAGGTTTGGCTCAAGAAAAGCTGGAATACATGGTACTGATATTACTCTACTTGAATTAGTGCAGCTAGGGAAGGTATTAAAAGAAGCAACCTGGGGCTTAAACGTGCACCTCTTGTGGGCAAAGGATACCTGTATTTACATTTTTAAAAAAATTTCTCCATTCTCATTGTCTCCATTCATAAATTGTCTGGCTTAAACTAGGTACTGTGAAGAAAAGTGACAGCTAACAGTCCTTTGCTTGCTTCTGGTAAGTAAAGGCTTTTGATATGCTAATGAAGAAGATCCAGATGGTACAAAGTGCCATATAAAGAAGAAGAGAAAGAACAAACTCTGGTGGCAGATTTGTTTTCTGAGACTTTAGCCTGTGCACATCCTGCAGGCTGGACTCCCTGGGTCAGCCACGGAGTCCCGGACATCCTGCTATTTCCTCTACCAAACAAGGATCACAGCAACAGGAAATGGAAGGGACCAGCTGAGGAATGGAAGGATTGTGCATGTTTAAGGAAAGGTAAGATGAAAAGCCCTGAATAATTCTCCTTATTAAATTAAAACAATTCTATTTGATTCCTACAAAAATTGTAATTTCTCATTTGCACATTTTACATTATTTATGTATATAAATGGAGACATTCTCCTCCTGAAACCCATGTATATGGCAAGAAGAATGAACTACAGGCAGGTATGGACATAGCTTGTGGAACTATGGAAGTCATGCCAGGGCAGTTTAAACGAATTGGACCTGACAGGAAGTACAGTCATCTCATCCTCAGATTTCCTGGGTGATTTGTTGTGGGACCCCTGTAAGGACATTCAAGTCCCTTGTTTAAAAAGACAGTATTTGCTTGAAGCAATGTTCATCTTTTCATACACTTTAAATCATTTCTAGATTACTCAATTCCTAACACAACATAAAACATAAAGGCTATATAAGTAGATGTTTCGTTGTTTTTTTTTTCTTTTTGAGACAGGGTCTCGCTATGTAGTTCAGGCTGGCCTTGAACTCACTATGTAGCCCAGGCTGGCCTCAAACTCATGGTGATCCTCCGGCCTCAGCCTCCAGAGTGCTGAGATTATAGGCGTGCACCACCACACCGGCATGTTTCACTGTATTTTACAGGGAAGGATGACAAGAAAATCTGTTTCATACAGATATATTTTTCCCATTACTTTCAATTTGCAGTTTGTTGAATCCATAAATGATGCAGTGACAGATATGATAGGCTGACCATATTTATACTTTCTTGTCTTTTGTTGTATACTAAACTCAAGGCAATAATCTCATGCACTAGAGAGAAAGAAGAAAGGAAACTGTCCAGCCTGCAGTGTCAATATTTAGTACTTTTATCCGTTGTGGTGACAACAAATGACTTTATCAAGAAGGAAAGGATTATTTACGAACATTGTTTCTATTATTTATTTCTTGAGAATGAACTTATCCTGAGGTTTTCTTTTAATAATCTCTGGCTGTTTTGTGTTTACTGTGCTGAAACTTATCTTCTCTATGAGAAACACGTAACTGAATTTCAAAATATAATCTATAAATCACACGGACTACTCCCACTTTTCTAAGATTAATTGGATCCAGTTGTTAGTGAAGAAATACAAGGAAGTGATGTGCAGGGACTATGAATTTGTGAAGATACACGAGCCACTGATAGATGTGTTTTCTCTGAAATGTGTGCGCATGATTGGGACAGGGCCATAGATAAAGCCTGGGAGATAGAGCTAATCTTAATTCAATACAAGAAGGCTCCAGAGAACGTGCTGTAAATGTAGGTAATAAGACATCGCACAAGAAGGAAAATCAGTTTTTGGTACTCATTTGGTTTTTCAAATGATATGAAATTAGTTGCTTAATAATGCTCAGCTACCTAGGACTGACACACTTTAGAAAGTGTTTCTCTTTCCTTGCAAACAATGTAGTTGCTATGTTTTGCTGTTGCTGTACTCAGGATCTGAGAAGTGATGGCCTTGCACTGGTGAAATATCTGACCCAATCTTAACTTACAGTCAAGAATCAAAGCCAAAGGGTTTGCCCAGTGGCCAGGACTATGGTTTCCCCTATCAGTTTCGATACTTAACATGGTGTCCTGCCTAAGATGTTTTCCCAATAAACATCTTATGCATTTTTAAATGGAAAAACTTACCTTACAAACAAAGAAAGCAATAAAGGAGGTGGTTCAGTACTCCCTCCTGTGAACTCTCAGGCTAAATAAGGTAGCCAATCCCAATAGCTACTGAATATCCAGAAAATGTTTGACTCAATTTTTAAAATAAATAAACCCAAATTAGACTGAATAAGACTGGGTAAGGTAGATCACTGTTCTGAGCTCTCCAGGTGGTATCTTCCAACTAAGAAGAGCAAAGTGTTCTTTAAAATGTTTCCTGAGATTCAGATACTAAGAAAACCTTGAATAGGCGGCAGATGAATGCAAATCACATATTATTATTAGGTTGAGAAGGTATTTTTTTCTAGCTAAAAAACAGTGCAACTTCAGTTTTCCTTATTTGAGAATCTCAAGTACTTTTGCCACTCTACTGACTTTGATATTCAGCTCTTACACATCTCAGTGCAGAACTGGTAGGAAGAGTCACTGTTACTAAATCGTGAAAGACTAAGAATATACATAAAACTGAAAAATATAGCCAATCCAGTTCTTTAGCAATTGATATGCTTAAATTCAAAGTAAAAGGTAAAGGTAAATAAGTAGTCTATTTGAAGTATGCACAGAAAATAAAACTTTAAAAAGCAATGCTAGAAAAGAATATCTCAGTGAAAACTCTGGTAGGAGAAATTTCTTTCATGTACATCATTTAGGTATAATTTTAATCCATTAAATTCTTGTAAGAATTCTTCTGTTGTGGGAATGACATTTGATAATACAAATCCTGCTTCACTGAAATGATACAAAACTCAAACCTGCCATACAGGGCCACTTCTGATATTCCTGAAGGACAGACATTTCCCATTTTACTCTTGTCCTGTATATACTTTTTCCCGTTAAGTTTATTGGTTCATTTAAAGCACACTACACAGTTTCATTCATCATTGGGATCTTGTACCTTTACATGATGTGTCTTGGTTCTTGTTTCTTCCCTATACCCCTGCCCTCCCTTCACCCCCTTCATCTTTCCCTATTCTCCTGTGTGTTGTTGCATATAATTCTCAAACACCTACGTGAAGGACAGATGCCATTTTCCTTGTTTCACAGATTAAAGGAACTAGAACTGAGAGAGAGGCCCTAGTATTTATAAACATCACTGCCAAAATCTGAGCTTTTTGTATCACTTACATAAACTGTCACTTGCTCTATGTGAGAGAACGCAAGCTCCTTGTTCCCCTGGGGAGTTAATTACACAGGCTTTGGCTGGGTGCTTTCTGTCTTTAATGCCTACATAAAATAGATGGTGTTTGTGCACCTGGCTTTTGTGGCTACAGACTTAGTCTTTTCAAACGTATGTAAAAACAATTGTGTAGAGCTAACAGAGGAGATGGCAGGGAAAGCAGAGGAAAAGCTCGTTTGGCATCAACAATTAGTGAGAGCCCCCATGAGATGTGAAAGGTGGCCAGGTAGGCCTGGAGCTGAGCAGCAAGAAGGGGCTGGTTTGGGGGCAGGGAACCTATGCTCCTGCAGGTACAGGGTCAGCTGGACACTGGTTTCCCATGGGCCCCTGCTTACAAGGTGCACACCCTGTAGCAGGAGGCTTCTTATTAGTTTTCAAATGTGATTGCCTAACTTTTTATTGTTCATATCTGTAGAGCTTTTATATTAACAATGTCAACTAAATAAAAAGGATCTATGGATTTTAAGAAAAGTACCTTGTGCTACTAAGAAATCCAAATTCTACCTCGAATTAACTTTTTGTTGGAAAATGCACAGAAATGGCTTGACCACTTTTAGAAGCAAAATCAGTCAGCAGATGCTTCTTGGGAATAAGAGAGATCTTTTATAAACATACACGTGAAATGTAGTCAACACATGAATCCACGTGGTGATTTGAAACACTGCCACACTGCCGAGCTTATTCCTAAGAGTATATATATTTACTATTTAAGATCATACTTCTGTGACAGAATAATTGCTATTATGTTTCTGTGTAGACTCAAGCTTTAGACATCCCTGCCCCAGATCATCATTTGTTTGAAAAAAGAAAAGATGATTGGTGGCCGAGGAAAGTCTTGGCTATGTTAATCGACAGAGAACAGTGCATGTTATGTTTTTACACTCTGAAATGTGAATCCACTCTTCCATGTTTGTCAATTTTACAGTGCACATAGTAAGACTAAATGATAAAGCACAGTAGACCACCTAAACAAGGCAAGGGAAGAAAATTAAATCCTTAGCAAGAGAAGACAGAGAGAACCATTGTGTTTCTATGCTAGTCTTCGAATTCTGTTCATACTTTGTATACAACTGAAACTAGAAAAACAACACTTTTTTTTTTTCTCTCAAGACATTCTTCTGGACTTGGTACTTGCGGACTTTTAGTAAGCTGAGTGAGTAAAATTCTCATGCTGCCGAGTTTGGTGGTGCACGCCTGGAATCCCAGCACTCTGGATGCTGAGGCAGAAGAATCATGATGAGTTTGAGATCAATGTGGGCTACCTAGTGAGTGCAAGTTGGGCTTGAACTACACGGTGAGACCCTGTCTGAAAACGACAACAAAAGTGTCCAATGCCGTTAGTTACAATTCTGAACCTCTAAGATAAAAGTTCATGAAAATACCATGATGATTCCCCAGATGTGGCCGTCACTCTAATAACTGCATGACTCCTTCATCTGGGCATTGGTGTAAATGTACAAGGGGAGCCACATGGACCATAGCCATGTCAAAGACATGTCTCTCTGTATGCTTCCAGAAGACTAATATCCATGCAACTCTGTAAGAATTAGCCAAGTTCACTTGTTTTGAACTTTTGGGATTTTATATTTGTTTTGTAAAATGTTTTAATAAATGTACCCAGCTTAACATATTTTATTTTGTTTTGTTTTATTAAAGAAGGAGAGCGATGGGAGACTCTCTACTTCTTTAAAGCTTTTCTCTTTACACTTTACTAAATGACCTATGTTTTTCATTATAAAAACAATGTATGTTCATATTTTTTAAAAAATAAAATCATCCAGATAAGTATGAAATAGACAATATTAGTTTCTTTTCCTAGCTACCTTGCCTTTGCACTCAGAGTTTCTACTGTAGCCTTCTAGAAGTTGATAGAGTGCACTTCAGAGAACCATTATGTAGTGTTTGACTTACTGTCACATACACCAAGGATTTAATTACTGATTTGACATATTGCTTCCCAGCTTCATATTTTATCACTATTCCTTATCATGCACACACAGTACAACCTGAGTATCTTTAAAAGAGAGGAAAACTGAAAGGAAAATCATAATAGACTTAAAAGGCAACTAACCTTTTTCCACCTCATTCAGATTAGCAGCTGGCAGCGACAAAGACAGAAGAGACAAAAGACTTTTTACATTGCAATACAACAGTGGAGCACATGAAGCCAACGCGCAGCATTAACAGAGAAGCCAGGGTGAGAGAGCAAAGTGCAGTAAGGCTGAGACTTCTTACCTACCGCTGAGCCAAGGCACAAACATAGAAAAAGATTAGGCCAAAGCTAAATGCCATTGCAGGGAGCTAGAGCTCTACATCTGAACCCGGTGAGGTGACAACCAGTCTTACTGTTTGAGGTGTACAAGGAATGGTTTGTGTGTGGGAGTCAGATTTGTAAAATAAAAATATAAGGGTATAAAATGGAAAGAGTAAAGCGTTCTGACTATTTTCCACAGAATAGATTCTAAGACTATCCAGGCGAAACTCGTATCTAAACCTCCACTTTCCTGACTTTGTATAATCTCCTTAGGCAAAAGGAAGGCTGAAATGTGGTCAGTGCTGTACCATATTTGTATGGGTCCCATGAGGATCGGGTTACCGAAGATGCACAGTCTTGAAATAGCAGATGTGGGGTTTTGACTGTTGGGAAAGCAAAGCACACTTTTCAATTCAACACCTAATCTGATACCATAGCCTAAGCGAAGGTGTCCATATCTCCAATGTTGCAGAGGTGTCAAATTTCCAATTTTCATTTTGAGCTTGTCTAAATAAAGAAATTCCTGGAAATTTTACCCACAAGAAGTATTTTGTTCTTAAAAACAATATATTAATGATTTAAATAAAAAACTCTAGCCCCAGAACCTCTCAAACTACTGCTGACTTTAGAATTAATTTTTAAATTATTTAGATTCCAAGGTCCCACTTTTATAATACTCAGCATAGTGATTTAAATTTCAAATCATAGAGAATTCTACATTTCAAAAATTAATCCTGGTTGAAGAATACTAGCAATCAAGAATTGTGCATTATACAATTGGAAAGGAAAATTGATGGGTTGCAGCAGATAGAATAGTTTTAATGATTTGAGTGGGAATAATACGGTGAAATTTTGAAAACAGAGGAACAGTATTGGTCCCTACAATTCATGTTGTCAATCTTGAGCAAAAATGAGTTCTAATGAGCCATTATCAACTTACTGTAATGCTTTGGTCACTAAGGGTTTAAATACATTTGACACGTTTCCCAGTGGTGGTTCACTTTCATTTTGCATATTGTTAGCCCAGTCTTACAGTCTGGTGATCATGTCATGAGTCCTCTGTCAGACTGCTATCAGATCTGAGCTTTCTTCACTGACAACATTCTGTCCATTCTGACTCTAGACATAGACGCCAAAAGTAAATATGGTCACTATAATAACTTGTGAGCTTTTTCTATGAGGTTTTACTTGCTCTAGCTAAACAGACTTAACTTTCTTATTGTATATCTCTAGGATATAGAGTTAAAACCCTTCAAAGAAAAAAGCACTTGTAACTTGAATGAGTTTGAAGCAATGACATCATTATCATATTCCCTGAGCAGAGCAAGGTTTCTTTTTCCAAATCTCATGCTCATTAATTAGACTGCAAAATTAGATTTAAAACAATAGAGCCACATTATAAGAAAATCATTCCAGAACTGCAGACTGGGATGAAACAGGATATGAAACTCTAGAATACGATTTATTCTTTCCTCAAAATAAAGCCTACTTGTGTGCCTCAGATTTCAAAATGTGGTTGTTTGACAGATAGTCATGGTAGGCTCTTCCATGACAACTTCTAGAAATGTCACATTTTGGCTAAGAAGTGGTTTTGCTAGACTTTGGGTTGTTAGGCTGCTTCAAAGGGACATGTGGGACACAGAAGTGGGTGTGAGGCTCCGTCATAGTTCTCAGAGACAAGTGAAATGCTCTGTACTGAATTGAGTCATTTAGGGTGAAAGGATGTTTGCTTAATTCGAACACGTGTAGGACAGGAGCTGGGGAAATGAAGGAAGAGCAGGTAAAACAGACACTTAAAAAAAAAAAGAAAGATATAAGAATAAAAATAGCAAATTTAAAGCCAAAGCACGGGGCCCCTCCAAACCAACTCAGAAGTATCTACCACCATTGTAAATTATCACTAAAAAGATATACAAGAACCTGAATACAGCTGTGTTTCTAAGCCCAAGATTCATTAGGAAGGAGATGTATATAATTTCCTGGTTTCTTTACTCAAAAAAAGCACAGAGAATGAAAATATGCTTGGGTCAAATTTGTCTGGTGGAATCAGGGCTGGTTGGTTTGCAGAGGCCTCCAAAATTAAGTGGGTTCTTAAGCCTTTCTCTAATGATAAGAACAATGATGGAAAAAGAGAACCACTCTATCCTAAGAAGGTACTAAGCAACAGATTTTAGTGAAAACACAGGGCTTCTTATACACATCCAAAGTAGCCCATCCAATAAAGTAGTATCTGCATATACTAAAAAACTTAGATTAGCTTTAGGGACTCCAAAGTCTGTGGCCGTAGGGCCATTAACCTATTTTGGAGGTTTTCCATGAGTGATACAGGTAGAAGTTCAAAGCTATATAGCACCTAAACACTTTGTAGCCATACCAGCATGATACAAAGTGTTAGATACAATTGCTATACTTTATTAATGAAAATATCAAACAAATGCTCAAAATCAACCCACTAAGCAGGTCAAGCACTGTCTATGTGTAATATAATTGGTGATCCAGCCCACTCAAATTTCTTCTGGCAACTTAGTGTGAGAAAACAGTACACACCAACAGGTGTCTTATTGATGTTAAAAAATTATATCATGGAAAAGGCAGCTACAGAGACACTTAGATCTTGGTTATTAAATTGGAACCTGCTGTTCTACCTAGAATTTTCCCATCATGAAAAAATACTTTCCCATTGTAAAAGTATATAAACCTTAGGCATTCCATAAAATCTTAAATTTCAATGATTTTCCAATGAGTTTCTGGGAAATTTAATCACATAGATATATGTGTTCATCTCGTTTACAAATGTCAAGTTTTGTCACCTATTTACAGTAGTTATTTCACTCTCTGATATTCTTAACTGTGTGTTGGGTAATATGGAAAAAATATAATTAATAAAAACACCCAGGAAAAAGAAGATAGTAACTTTGAAGAGTGACAGAATTTAATTCTCTTTTCTTACAAATGAAATATGTAGCATTCTCTTTTTCTCTATCAACTTAAAGGATTGATGGAGAAGAAAAGATAACTGTGATGCTTCCTATTCATAATCACATTAAAGATCAAACGAATATTCTGTCAAAACAGACAAACAGTAAAGTTGATGTCAACCTTTTAAATTCATTCAAACTGGGAGGAAGGTCAGCAATTTGAACAGTCTTAAGAGATTTATCACCCAAGGAGACAGATGTCCCAAAAAATTGTAATCCCATAAGACGATCCCAAATGATATCCCAAAGACTATCTCTTCCCAGCTTTCATTCTGAGGAACATGGATTATCAGACACACATGTACTAGTGAAGAAATGAGCATGGACATAGCCATTTGAAATGCTTGATTATGTTTTGGCTGTGTAACGAGGGGCCCTCTTTTAAAGTATGCATTGGTGAGCTGGTTTTGCAAAGGAAAAACTGTGTGCATGAAAATGTCAATGGAACAAAGAATAAACCCTTTACCCTGACAGTGTTTTTGCTACTTAACATGTCTTTATGAAAGATGCATGTATTGATCTGAGCTGATTTTTTAATTCGGTTGGGTGAAGTCATCTTTAAGTGCCTCTGTTATTTATGTTTATATCTAATTTTCAAAACACCTACCAGTTACTGAATAATAGAAGTGGTGTAGTAAACAAATATAATAGTGACAGTAATTCGTTCAAACAGATACACTGATGGATGGCATAGTGTTTCCTATTCTTCATACCTGTGTATTCAGGTGGGCAAAGACATGTGTAGTTATTAATTCCATCGACACATGTGGAATTATTTTCACAGTCATTATCTTCACAATCATCAACATTGACCTCACAATTTTCTCCTTCAAATCCATCAGCACAAATACACCTGAAAACCAGAAGCAGAAAGCAAAAAGTCTTTTTGCTTCATTTTAAAAGCATGCTATCAAAATACTGAAAAAGAAAGCATGAATAGCTCATCGATTACAGATACTTTAACTCAAGAAATTGGTTTTTAAAAATGCTTTGAAAAGACATATTGTAAGTTCAATTTAAAGTAACATCTAACAAACCAGAAAACACTAAAATAAAATTTATGCTAGCTGCTGCACAGTCATAAAAGACAATAAACCCAATATATTTTCAAGTCTAAAACATAGCAAAGGTGGACCAGGGATGTAGCTCAGTGGTTCTGCCACCTGCTTTGCTAAGCACAAAGTCCCAAGTGTGATTCCCCAGTACAGAAAAAACAAAAACAAACAACAACAACAACAACAACAACAACAAAAATAGCAAAGGTTTACTCCACAGCCCTAAACATCTTAAAACCAAATTGGGCTCTACTAAAATAATTCATGTTTTTTTTGAAAAGGAACTGGCTCTGATTTTAAAAGTTATATCATCTACCATTTTGTGTAATGTCCTTGATGCTTTGTAACAGAAAAAAAAAACTAAAACTAAATTTTACCCTAGCATAAATCATTGTGTATTTAATCTTGAACATGTTTGAGAATAATTTTTTTTTGTAGTGGAGATCAAACTCAGGACCTTGCTTTAAAAAGGAAGGGGCTGTGCTGCTGAGCTAAATCCCTGGCCCCAGAATAATTTTTCAGTAAAGTCTAGATCGATAAAAGAGAATTTTGTAACAGAAGTGAAGTATAGGTCTTCTAAAATGTGATGTTTCTAGTAAGCATTAGTAGATTAACATTCTTAGGGTCCATAAAGAACTCTTTCATAATTCATTAAGTACACCTGAAGTAAATGCACCATATGATTAAATAATTCCAGATTAGAAATGTTCACAGCATGTTTGTCTACTTAAATTATGGAATGGGAATGAATCATTAAATTAATGTTTCATTATCATTACAACCTGTCTGCTATAGTAATAAGCAAATCTAGGTGAATATAGGACTTTCAGTAGGGCACTATTTGGTTATTAATTAGCATAATCAAACCAAAACGCAGTCTTACCCTAATCTGTCTTAATTAGTCATAATTTTGTATGAACCTGCTCTTAAATTTTTGATCTTGTAGCCTCCTCAGCTGAGAATTCTGCAGCATCTCAGTTTGTGTTTAATATTACAATCTCTGAGAGGTACCAATATATTTTGTCCTTATTCTGGTATTTCTTAATAATGCACCTGGACTTAAAAAGGAACATATAGGCTGTTTAGCCATTCTCATTCTGAAACCTCAGACACAGGAGATCAGAGAGCATAGTGACCTACCAGAATCCATCCCTTTCTCCTTCTTTTAAGTGGCAAGTTCCTCCGTGTTTACATGGGTTACTGATGCAGGCATGAATTGGGATATCACAATCTTGCCCCTGGAGAAAGAATAATCAAGTAAAGCTGAATGCAAATAATGCTTTCTCAGCTCTAAAGAAATCATAATGGAATATTCAAAGCATACCAAGGAAAGCAATGTTTCCAGGTTGTGGCTCCCACAACAGCTTGCACTTACCTTGAAACCATATGGACAGGTGCATCGGTAAAAGTCAACTGGATCATTGTTACAGGTACCATCATTTTTACATGGATTTGACAAGCAGGGATTACATTTAGAAAGAATATTAACATCCACAGGACCTAAAAATTAATTAGAAAATATAAAAATGGATGTTTTCTCTTTATAGTTTATCTGTTCTTTAACAAAATAGTGGATATGGTATGAAATTGTTGGTCTCATACCTATGTATGTTTCTTTTCTTTGATGGAATTAAAAATCAGTAACATCATAGCATGTTCAAGCATGCAATGGGAGTCCTTATCCCTGGTAGGTACTATGAGACTTTCTGAACCAGCAGGAGTCTGGGATGGTAGTTTGGGTTATCAGTAGCTAACATTACTAATGATACCCATGGCATAGAGTGAATCCTCTTAGACAACAACTGATTTATGTCAATGCAATCCATGGTCACCCCCTACATCTCAACCTCAGCCAGCTTCATGGAAATGCATGCCATAGTTTCCAGAGAGGACTATGTATATATATGGTGGTGGTGTGATTTTTATAAGTAGAATTCTGTGACTGCAATTAAAAGCAGCATAGAACACACTTGCCCAGGGAACATTACCCTAGTATTGCTACTTTCACATAGGAGATACAAAACCATGCTCTTATTTTTCATTGTGGGGATGGAATCCAAGGTCTTACGTATGCTACGTATGCGCTCTATCACTCAGTTACGCCCCGTCCCAGCGCTACTTTTATGCATATGGAAATCAAAAGTATAGGCTTGATTTTATTGTCTAACTTGTCATTTTGATTCAGTTATTACTTGAGAGGTGTAGTACATGGCGGATGAGGATTTCATATCTTCTACTCCAAGAAAAAAGTTCCACTGAAATGATTTCTGTTTGTAGTCTCACATGATCCTAGGTTAAATGGAGGTGTAGCAGCAGCAATTTTCCACAATTTCCATTACTTACTGAGAAGTGACTAACAATTGGAACACTGAACTGTTCTCAGTAACATAATGTTTCACTGAGGCTACTTTTTGCACTGTTGGTGAAAGATCACCAGTTTCCCTGTTGATAAATGTTCTGACTAGGACAATGGTAAACTAACATCTTTTTACACATCCAACACAAATCTTCATTAGCATGAATATTTATTATAGTTTTCTTGTTACCAGTGTCCCTGTAGCTCTTTATGTTCATGGAAACAATAAGTGATAAGCTGAATTTTATGGTTCATTACAAACTATTCCTTGCAAAGTTATCTGGATAATTGTATAACATAAGTGTATAATATACCCTCCGCCTCCACCATCACTGCCCTGATCTTCTATGGCAACTAACTTCATGCCCCCTCACACGACTCAGGCTCATCTGAACTATTTTTCATAAACTGATTTGATAAATTAGAATTTATGGTTTCACGTCATGTAACAGTGAACGTACATGGTGGACAGACTCTTCTTCTCTCTTCATAACCTTATTTTGGAAAATATTAGTACTTACTCAAAGTACAGTTTTCTATTAAAATCTATAAAATTGTTCCGTGTCGTGCAGTTTTTCTACTTAGAAAACAAACACAAAAAAGCTAAAAAACAAAACAAAACAAAACAAAAAAAAATCTGCTGGAAGAATGCTACATAGAATTTCTGGTTCTTTTTGGGGTGTGGGATGGAGGCCAACTCTTGGGTTGACTGTGTCAGTTGTAAAGGGTGGTGATTGCTCCCAGTGACACTGAAAGTTACCAGAAGAGGAAACGTAAATGCCAGTATCCCTTCTGCTACTTCTTTGGAACAAGCTACCGAGTGCAAGCTCTGAATCAAACTGCAGGTTAGAATTGCCAGGATCAATTCAGAAGTTAAATTTCTTACAACCTCCAACTTATGTATTTGTTTCGGTTTTTTTTGTTGTTTTTTGTTTTTGGTACTGGGGATTGAACTCGGGTCCTTGTGCTTGTGAGGCAGGCCACCGAACCACTGAGCTAAATCCCCGGCCCTCCAACTTATATATTAAAGGCCAAAATTCAGCTATTCCGTATAATGGATAGATCAATGGTGTTGATTATTCAAAAAAAGTTAGTTAAATTAACACAATACCTCAAAATGAATGGTTTTGTCTTTGTTAAAGTCATACTTAGATTCAGCACTAGGAAAGGAAATACCCAATCCACAGCTGATCCTGTGGGTGGAGAAGAATCGAATTGGGAACAAAGGTGTAGAATGAAGAGCAGAGAGCACACAAAATACAGGTCAGCACAGCCAAGGTCAGTAAACACTCATCTGGCCACTTCCTGAGGCCTTGAGGAAAAAATGCCTTTTGGTACCTCTCTGCTTTCAATCATGTTAGACTATGATCGAGACAGAGGAGCCCAGGATGGCATTACAATTCACTGTGGAGAACATGACATTTTTCAATAGTTATGTTTGAGTATTTAGATGAGAAGCTAGAGAGTTTTCTTTGGGGAAAAATCTGAGTACATCTAAGAACTTAACAGTGTATATAATTAACAAAACTGCTAGACTGAAGTAAACCTTGTCCCTTTTATCACACACAAGATTTACTTAATAAACATCCTCTGAACTATACCTGAATTATAAGCACTATCTAATTTCTCCTTTTTCCCAGGGGCAAATTTAATGTCCTGCATCGCTAATCGTGTTCAATTATTTTCATAGCCAGAATTATATCCATAATTTTAATGAGTACATGAAAGGAGATTGCTGTCAATTTGTATATTTTCAGTTTAGCTGAAAGAATCAAGATAATAAGGTTCCTCAGTGTACGAGTCTCTTCTGACAGTTTCTTAAACTTGCCATATTATTTTATTGGCATTCGTTCTGGGAATGTGGCAAAATATCGGGTTCTTACATTCATGGGTAGGGTTGACTACTTCAACTACCATCCTATTGTGTTTTTTTGCTTTGTTTTGTTTTGTTTTTTTCCAGTAATGGAGATTGTACCCAGGGCCTTCACACTGAACTGAATTCACAGCCCGTTTTATTTGGACACAGAGTCTTGTTTAGTTGGAAGTTGCCTAGGTTTAGATGAAACTTGTGATTCTCCCACTTCAGCCTCCCAAAGTTCTGGGATTATAAGTGTGCATCACCATTCCTGGCTCCTGCTTTTTATATTTTTCTTTAAAAGTCAGTTCATCAAAGATAGCTTCTTTTCTTTTATTAATTAATTTTATTGGTATATTTAAGGTATACAATGTAGTGACATACATCATCGGAAATTTGCACCTTTACATAATTTATCTTGCATTTTTTCCCCATCCCCCTGCCCTCCCTTCAACCCCTCCACCCCTCCCTATCTACAAAGACTTTGTTTCCATTTTTCCTTTTTCTCATGTTAATTCCATTCTTTCTTTTCCTCTACCCCTTCCGTTTATTTCTAGAATTTGAGTTTGAATATACAAAGGGTAATTAAAAATGTTTTTAAGTTCTATGAATTTCAAACAAATATTCTCTATTTCCAAATGCCTTAAATGATATAGATCCTCTTCTGACTTTATTTAGATGCTAATTATAGATACAATTATATATAGGTATAAACATGTACCTAAAACTATTGTAACAGCATTGCATTATTTTTACATTCAGCTCATTTCTCTAAGTCTACTCGTTACTATGCTAGAAACTGTATTCATTGCACATGGACACATTGGGATATATCCCTTCCACTTGCCTCTCTCATCTCATTCGTCTTTCCACCTATATTTTGCCTCTTTTATTTTCTGTTTTTTATTTGAGTTTCAATTTGTGATTCATTTTCTCAGAGATCCTGTCCTTAAATCTTCAGACTCAAGGAGAATATTTTTAATCTGTTTAAATAATAATAAGATGGTATCATAACTTAAGGATCATCCTTTACAAAGACATCACGAAATGGCTGAAGCCTCAGCAGGGATCTCCAGGAACAATGTGAAACTTGTAGAATTTTGTGCACTTCATTAGTCTCAGGTTAATAAAAAAAAAGATGTACAGGGATAAAAATCAGGAAGGATTTTTTAGCCTAACACAAAATAATCTTGGGCATTCAATGGGAAGACTATGAACTCATGATTTTAATGAGATTTGTCACGTAAGTGTGTGACATTAGGATAATGGCAGTTACCTCAAAAGTTGTTTTAAGCATTAAATAAGATATTTGTAGATGGAAAGCAGGAAACTCAATGAGATCATGCTCAGAAACCTCATGAAGGACTGACACTCTTTCCTAGACTTCCAAAGATTATTCTGGGCTAAAGCAGAAGTGATTATCTTAAAAGGAGAAAGACAGTTCTTTGCCGATTTGTCCAAATCTTAATACAGAAAATGGCAAATTAGAGTTTGCCATTTATGCATTCATCCAGAGTACACTGATCACCTCCTATATGTGCTAGATGATAAGATTTGGAAGAACTGGAGGGAAAGTTATGAAAACCATGAGGAACTGAAATGGGCACGCGAAGGTAATCACCCACTGGGTAACATTACTCAGAGTTAGTGATTTTTCTGTTAAGAATACAACTCTGATTTAGGAATTGGATAACCATCAGACATAGCAATAAGAAGCAGAGGAAGTTCGCTTTGCTCTGGCATTGTTACTTGGAAGGCACTGCAATCTTCAAGACCCTCTCCCTTTGAAATCTAACTGGTTCCAAGGAGTGCTAAAGAACCACCAGCAAATTAGCCCTCACGAGATGTGTGCCACAGAAAAGAAATCTTGCTTCCAGTAGACAGATCTTTACTACTGTCACTGAAATGAAGGAAGCAAGTCTTGGCTAACTGGATTGATTTAAGATTTGGTCTTGACTTAAGAAAGAACTATAGTGCCAGCTATGTGGGTAGAGGTGTGTTTAGATTAATAATTCAAAGAGAAAATGAGAAGAAAGTTTGGTTAACAATCTGCTTCTGTCACTTGCTTTAATCTTTAATGTAAGAACTGCCGGACCTCAAATCCATTAAAGCTTGCAGGCAGACTTGCTTACTTGACTCAAATCACTAGCTATACACCTGACACCACTATTGCCACCCACTGAGGGTTAGATCTCACTTTGATTTATTACCAAAAGCTCCCGACAAAATTTTCTAACATATACCAGAATCTGCCTTCATTCTGGAATCCCCTGGAAACATGAGTCCAAT